CCCCAAAACCCCAAAACCCCAAAACCCCTAAGGTTGAGATTAGTGAGAAGAGGATGGATGAAACTGAAATTATTAATATAATAAAATAGTACTAATTTTTAAATTAAGAATAAGACCTAAGAATAAATGGGCACAAAAATATCGATTGACAAGCACGTTTCCACACTTGAAGACATACTCGAGATGTCACCGAGCTATTTCGACAAAATCAAATTTGAATCGAAGATCTCCCAAAATATTACACAGCATTTGAAGGTATGTAGAAATAAAAGTTGAAAACTATTTCAGCTAATAATAAGCTTATTAAATCTTGGTTTAGATTTGGAAATTTAGTGAGGATAAGCGAAAATTTGATAGTGTTAAATCAACTCCTGTTTAATTGCACAACTTGCAGCAAAGTGGATTTTTCTTTTCTTCAGAGGAGGCATATCTAATCCTATTAGTTTACAAAAATGGATATGAAGGTAATCTTTCAAAATAATATTTTAATAATCTGACTCTATAGCTTAAAGTGACTTAGTCTCATTTCCACACAGTCTATGGGGAGTAGTATAGTCAGCTGAAAATTTAACGCCAAGAGGGTTATTGAATACTTTTTCAACAAACGATGATGAGAGTTTTCGCAATCATTAGTTTGACTCATTTTTATTATCAAAAAGAAGAGATATGAATGAGGACGAAGAGATGAAAGATGAATCTAAGTAAAAATCTAATAATTAAAGTCAACAGTTCAAGTACATGATTTTTGTGTGGAACGGAAAGTAAGCTGGTCCTCTTGTCAAAGCTACAGCATTAACAAAAGGATATGAACTTGATGATCTATTAATAAAAGCAAAAGATGCTGTACTTCAAGTATTTTTCTCTGGTGGAGTAATACGAGGCAAGAAATTGTAGAGAAGTAACGTTTTGGTATTTGATGATGTAATTGACTCCAAGAAAAATGACGGAAATGATAAATAGTAAGATAATCCAAATACCCCCTCTGCAGAAGAGATTGTTAAGGCTTATGAAACTGTATATCTTTTAAAATGGTTATTCCCCTAAAGTGTCATTGAGGATTAGATCAAGAGTTCATAGTATGTAGATTATTTTAAGAAGCCTAAATTTTAAAATTTCTTAAACACTTTCAAGACTGCTCAGAAATAGTTGGATTATTGGTCTAAGTTCGATAATATAGATAAAATGCTAAAGGATCTAGATTTATCATCTGACAACGAAAATAATGTTGGTGGAAATAAAATCGGTAGTAATTAGGCATTTAATGACAGTGATTATGAGGAAGATGATGAGAATATGAATGATATTTCCGATAGAAATGTATCAGAAGGACTAATTAGCTATTAAAACAATTAGGATAAAGGAGAGGAACAAATGAACAACCAAGCTTAGCAATAAAAACCAGCTGAGCAACTTAAATAAATGCTTGGAGGTGGTTTAAAACAGCCTGTACCTCCTATTGGAAAGCTAAATCTCGCTAATATTTCTTAAAATAAAGAGTAAGATGAAGTTAAGAAGCCTGAAATGCAAAAATAGACAAATGTGCCATCATTAGGGTTAGGACAGAAAGGAAAATTCAATCTTGATATTTCTAAGGCATAAAGAATAAAAAATTAAGATGAAAATGGGTAGGATTCTTAAAGAGAGTTGATTGAGTAATAACAAATTGAAAGGGAAAACCAAGAAAAAATACAGAAAAAAACAGTTCCAGGTTTAAAATTAGGAGGACCAGAATTATAACTAAATAAACAATAGGAAGCATTACAAGCTCAGCACTAAAATCAAGTGCCTACTAAGAAAATGAGCCTTGGTTTAGGTTTAGATATATCCAAAGCCCAGAACTATCAACAGGAGTCACTTCTGAAGAATGAGTAGATTATACAAAAAGCTAAAGAAAATTAAAATCCTCCAGAAAATGAAGGACCATAACTGCAGATTAACATCTCAAATATAAGTAAGCTTAGAGAAATCTAATAAGATTATCCCATGGAAGAAGCTCCTGTTCATAGAAGAGGACTAGAAGAGGAGTAGGCGATGAATGTAGATTCATAAATATCAAAGAAGATTCTTTCAGTTTCATCAAGAGGTGACACTGAAAATTCCAGTCTAGAGTCTTCAAATCGAGATCTGATTCCCCCTGAATAACTCACTGATGAGGACTTTGATATGAAAGGAACATCAAGAAAGGAATATGAGAATGAGTATTACAAGAGGATATGCTCAGAGATTATAGATGAATTTTTATTCTTGGGTAGTGATATAGTAGCTTAAGATAAAGAAATTTTGTAGAAGAATGGAATAACTCATGTAATTAATTGTGCAGCTGATTATAGTGCTAATTATTACGACGGGGAGATAAAGTATAAAAAATATCACCTAAAAGATCATATTAGAGAAAACATCGAATGTGTTTTCTATGATGCGATGCATTTTATCGATGAAGCAAGAAAAGAAAATGGTAAAGTATATGTGCATTGTGTTCAAGGAGTCTCTAGAAGTGCAACAATAGTACTTGCTTATCTCATATTCTCTTAGAAAATGAACTATTAAGATGGGTTTAATTACCTTAAAGAACGAAGGGCAATCGCTAATCCTAATATGACTTTCATTGCTTAACTGATACAGTTTTATAAGAGGTTGTATTCAGAAGCTTACGAAAGTTTGCCAGTATCACCCAGAGTATTTATTGTAAGCTCTCATGAATTAGAGGATCCTGAATACATTATTGCTAGAATGGTAATTTCATTAATTAGACTTAATTGCCCTATAGATGATGGAAAATCTATATCAAGGTAAGAACTCTAAAGTATTAGATCCAAGAGGCATGTTTATTATTCAAGGCAGAGAAGTAATAAAGATTTGGATAGGATCAATGATCCCTTAAGCAAATATCGAACCTTACAAGCGATACGCAGAAAATTATATTAAAGTCCTTCAGAAATATGAAAGAGCTCCCTAATAATTCAGTTATGTAAACCAATTTGAGGAGGACACTTCTTTCTGGAAGTTATTTAACCTTGAGCAAAAGCCCCAAAAGGACTATGAAAACATTGCAGAATGGAATACAATATTCCTTGATGTATTTATATCTAATTATGATTATATATTTTAGTTGGCAAAAGTAAAACATTAAGACAAGAAAGCTCCAGTTGTAATGCAAATGTAAAACTATAGAGAGATTGTTTCTAATGAGCAAATATTTAAGCCCAGATTATTTGTTTACCCTGATACTCAGCAATCTTCTACTGTCTTTGATCTTGATGATTTATCAGAAGAAAACTTCATTTTGCTTTGTGTAAAGGCAAAACCTGAAGAGGGACTTGAGGATGAGTTGCATATCTGGAGAGGACCTGACTTTGAAGAAGGATAATTGGATATCAATCAATTTATAGACGAGGTTATAAAGAAATACTGGGGTGGCGAGAAAGATCAAAGTGAGATTGAAAGGATAGAGCAAATTCCTGGGGGTGAAGAAGACGATTTCTTGAACTATTTTGATTGAGTCTTTTCCCCTTATCCTTCAATCATAAAAATATATCAATCTCATAAATTCCAATGAATTATAATACTTGAACAAATTTTTATGAGTAAAACTCTATTATATATTATTTTAAAATTAAGACTCTAAAATAATTTCTTCATAATTAGAATCACTAACATTGTTATAATGAAATTAAAATTAAAACACCGTTCATGACTTATCAATATCTCGCTTGTTATATGAAATAAATATGTCTTTGATCAGTCACTTTATCTAAGGAAAAAGCCAGTTTCTAGAGGAACTTAGGAATAAACTGGAGGTCTATCTGATTATTCCAACCTATTTTGCATATGCCTATGAATTTCTTTCAAAGTTGCAGCAATATGAGCTAATGGAGCTGGTTTTGCCACTAAATGTGATTAAAAATTGAAATGTACAAAAATAATCCATTCCAGCATCTTTGCAGTTCTACTCTTCATCAAAATATGCTGTATAGCCTATTATAACCATATTTGGATCTATTCTTCCTAGTTCTTTATATCTCTTAATTTTTAGACTTGCCTAATAAAATTAATAACATTAGAGTACCTCAATTCCATTCATGATTGGCATTTCATAATCCATAAAGATAATTTTATAGCTCGAACAGCATTCAGAATATTGCTTGGCCTTTATAATCTTTAAACATTCCTTGCCATTAATTGCTTAATCTGATATAAGATTGAAGTTTTACTTTAAAATCTCAGTTACCATTAGTCTATTCATATCAATATCATCTACTATTAAAATCTGTGCGCATTTACAAGGAGTTGAGAATAATTGCTCAATGTTTACATTATCAACTTATGTCGGTTACAAAGTATGATTTAATTGAGGATTGATTTCTTAATTTAGTTTTTAACCTATCTAAGCTTCATTATGAGTTTTGCTTTGCTTTACTTATTGCTAGATAAATGGCTTATCTCCTACTAATCTGCAATTTTCATCATCATCAGATATAAAGCCTATTGACTTGTCTTGATCAGATCCCTCACTTAATCTATTTTACTTCAAGATACTGAAGTTTGAATTAACTCTGAGTTTTCTGACACCTTCCATTCGGCTTTACTTTTAAGGACTTGGGTTATTTGTCAATTAAAATCTATTTTGATTTGAATTAATTTCTTTATTGAATCCTAAGGAATCATAAGATTTATTAACTTTAAGCTTTCGTTCATTGTCTGGACCAAATTCAGGTCCACTAGACTATTAAAGTATCTAATTCATTTAATTAATTACCTGAAGTTTTTGATTTGATCTTGATCTACCTCCTGGAGATTTATCTTAATTAAGCTTTAATTCTTCTTAAGGATATTTTTAATGCTCAGCGATTTAGTTGAATGTTAAATATGCAAATTAGCTTTTTTTCCTAGGGTATCTATTATTGGAGTATACTATTGCATTTTTGCTATTGTATGGAATAAAACTAGATTTACGACCTTAAAAGCCTCCACCAAATTAACCTTATAAACCTCCTCCTAATTCAGACTATTCATCATCAAATTTATATTCGTCATAAAAGTTGTCCTCATCATATACATTTTGCTGAAATAAACAAAGGAAATTTTCATTTTGAAGTTAATGAGTCATAGCTAACTATTCTGGTAGCCCATAGTTACTTTCGGCTTCATCATTGCTACTAAATCTTTGAGAATTGGCTCCTAATTTCTCTTCATCAGTATCAGATTCTTCATATTCAATTCCTTAAGTCTTGGTGTCAACAGCATCCCCAAAAGTACTTGGATTAGCTTTTCGTTAATTCACCGGAATTATAAACCAAAACTTAGTACCTTGACCTAATTAAGAATTAACCTTAATCTAGCCTCCCATCTTTTGGCATAATAGTTGGCAAATAGGTAATCCTACTTTGGCGGCTATAATAATTTGAAAATGTTTTGAAATGTAACTTACATTTTTAGTGATTACTTTAATGCATATTGCCAAGAGCCATGAGGTCACTTTCAAGTAATTTAAAAATATAGTTTTTCTTATCATCAGGAATTCCCAGCCCTGTATCTGAGACTTCAAATTTTACAAAAGTTGTGTTTTTAATATAATTATTTTAAGGAGTAGAGCTATCCCTCTTTTGAGATATTCCCTTCATTGTGAATTTAATTTGGCCTTGCGGAGTAAATTTTTAGGCATTTAATAATAGGTTCAGCACGATTCTTATAATCCTATCTTGATCATTTTCCATGAAGATAGGTATGTTTGGGTCCAAGAAATTTATGAATTTGACATCCGCATTCTAGATTTAGGGCTTAATAATTTTAATTATGGTGTCATAGCATTCTTTGAGTCTAAACTACTTAAAGTTTATCTTTAATTCGCCATTTTCGATCAATTAATAATCCTATAATAAAAAATTTAGAGCTAGAATTTTAACTTACAATCAAATCATTTAAATTATTCTAAAGTATATATATTCCTGATTCAATTGAGTTCATATAGCTTTGAAGTTTCTTGTGATTTGTTCTATCTGGAGAAGTGTAAGAATTTTTTTTTTCATCTAACAATTTATTCAGTATTCCATTGCTTAAATCAATTGTTTGCACAACACCATTCAATGGAGTTTTGATCTCATGAGTGAAAGACTTAAACATCATATTCCTTAACTAACAGACCATTCTTTGATCTAGAAGTTTCTTGTCCTGAGTAACGTCTCTTACAGTCAATTAAATTTTTTACTGGCCATCCCAGAGAATGAATTAGACTAATGATGTTTTAATATTCCATGAATGTAAATGAGTATTAATATAAAAGTGGGTAAAAATACTAAGACTTACAAGTGATAATGAAAAATCTCAAATATTTTTGGTTTATTCTGGAATCTATTTTTTCCAATTAGTATTCAATTTCCTCATTGATCTCCACAGTAGGTTTATTTCTAAGAAAATTTATCATATCTTCCATCACTGAGACTGTTTTTATTTAAGGTGGCTGAGATTTTTCACCTTTCATATCTATTTACTTTGAATGACCATTTTAATGCATAATTCTTTGTCTTCTTCTTATCTACTTAAGAACTGTAAAAATCTATAGGATATTATATTTTAAATTAAAGTACCTGAGAGTCTTATTTGATCCCCAATGTTTTTCTAAAGTTGTCATTTTGGAAATGGACATTTTAATAACTCAAGATTGCATATCCAAATCTCATATTAGAGAAAATGCGCTCATATCTTCCATATTTATGAGTAAGTTGATTGACTCGTTTGTATTCATCAAATTATCTAACTTGAAACTCAAGAAGTTTCATATAAGAGATATAACATAGTGCAGCGCAGCACAAGAAATCGAAAACAGTCATTTTAAAGTCCTAGTTTAGATTAGTGAAGAATATTAGATATGTCACATGAGCGATTTACTTAGTCTTTGAATTGAATATAGATTTCAAGCATATAAAGTTTAAGGCCATTGCACCCACAGCACTATATATATAATAAGTAAAATGATGGAGTAAATTGATTTAAGTAATTCATTAATACTTACCACAAAAATACGTGATTTGTATCGAGATGTTGATTAGTAATTAATTGTCCATATTTAGCAACGAAGCAAATCAACGTGAATTATAATACTCCATTCATTTCAATAATGGTAGCTGTAGAAAAATTATCCAAAATATTGGAAGGTGCACTTTATTTTTTGGGCGGAATTAATCTTCTGCTTGAATGATTAAATGAAGAAATAGAACTCTTCTAGTCCTTAAAAGATGAGTCTCTCTCAGAAATATTCTGCTATTTTAAAGACTTAAACGTCATCGTACGATTATTTATTACGCTTGATTAAATTTTATTGTATTGCATGCATTCAAAATTGTAGAGCAATTTATCATTTCTAAATGAAGCCTCATTAGAACTATATTTTCTGAAAGAACCATCTCTCTTTGCCACTCCCAACCCATTTTAATGATCTTACTATTCCAAAGCATATTCTTATTTAACTTAATTTATGATTATTTAGACATTCTCCATAAGACAGAATTTGCCAAATTCAAGAGAAAGTATCCAAATTATCGAGAACAACAATTATAATAATTTATCATTCTCAAAAATGCATAGATAGACGGCCCTCACGCACATTATAAGTCCAAGTAGTCTCAGAATCTAATATATTTCACTTTGAGAACTAAATGTTTGAATTAAACGTTCTTTTTCATATAAAATATTTATGGCCTCTTCAAAGGCTTCGGCATCTTTGTCTATTTTTTCACTACTTAGTTTTGACTCTCGTTCTCGTTGCTATCGCCTTTATTCCTTGTGCTTTTATTAGAGTTCTATCATTTTTTATGAAGCTATTTTCTTATTTGAAGGTGAGGTTTATGATTCTTGCCGAATAAAGGGTATGTGTGCTGAACCCTTGCGATGACCTTTCACACCAAGTGGCCTTATTTAACTCATTAATGCTCAATCTATATATTGTATTAAAAATTCTTACTTTTTTAATATTTTCTAATCAAGCACTATTGCTAGCTGATTTTTACTCTATTTGATTTCACGGGGTTTTGGGGTTTTGGGGAGATCGGAAGAGCACACG